CTCGCCGCCGCTGAGCTCCGGGCCGGAGGCCGAGAAAGGGGCGCCGGGGCACCGTCGGGCCCCCCTCTCGGCGGCGCCCGGACCAGCTCCATTTTGCGTGGGGGGCCGGCCGGGGGGTGGGTGGCGAGGGGATGCAGCTCCAACCCGCGGCCCCGACCCTGCTCCCTCGGTCTGGCCGCAGAGCGGGGGTCTCCGGGGAGCGCCCCCCTTCCGCCCCGCGGGGGCATGGCGGGGCCGGGCCGCTTTGTCTGTCCCGGGAACCCTGGCACCGCCCGGCGGGCGGGCGGCAGGCGTTGGGCGCGGGCCCGGGGCCTGGGCCAGGCGAGTCGGGGGGATGCGCGCCAGGGGCGTCCGTCCGGCACGGGCGGGACTGACAGATCGGCCGGGCCGTGGGGCTGGCGCCAGCCAGCTCGCGCACCTTCGTGGGGAGGAAGCGAGGTCCCTGGGAGGAAGGAGTGGATTTGGTCTCCCCGCAGTCTGGTTTACACGTAAAGAAAAAGAATGCAGCCATCTGGCCGCTTGCGGTCCCTGGACTTGCCCCGAAGGTGGGAAAGGAAGCCTTTCGGATTGGACTAAGGTTTAATCTTGGGTGGGAGGCGGGGAGGATATTCCGGGCCTCAGGAGCAGCAAGCAGTCTGCGAGAACAAAGAATTACAGAGCACCCACAAGTCGTGATCTCCCCCAAAGTACTGTAACAAGATAAATTTAAACAAGCTCAGGTAGCATACGACCTTTCAAAAAAACAGCATCCCACTGTACGTCATGGACTTCACAGCTCCGTGGTTCATGCCACGAATCACTGGGGTGGTTTGGACTCTCAGTATGCAAACTAATCAGCAACATAAAGTGATGAGGTAAACCAATCAATATAAGTGACATTAATAAATAGGGCTTTTATTTGTCGAGTATTGAAAGTTTAATCAGAATTCCTTAAAAGGCAATTATTTCTTCTCCCCACTGCTCTTGTAGCTTAATTTAAGGATTATTATTGATGCAAAACTCTGGCTGGTGGGGAAGAATGGAGGGTGGAGGAAGGGTCTGCTGCATTTCTTGGATACAGATTTGTATCTCTTGAAACGTTAAACATGTATGGATTCCCTTGAGCTTTCACATGTATCATAACCTGCCTTTAAGAAAATACATACCATATGAGGTGATAGTGTTTTTCTTTAATATACTGAATCTAAAGAACTATTTGGGTGAGTGAGTGTGGTGAGATGTGACCCTCCCCCTCCCCCAAACAAAAAACATTATATATATATATACACAGCTCATAAGTATTCTGAGCAATTTGTTTTTTTCAAAGACACCCTTGACAACACGGCTATAAGGAAGGAATTTGGACAATATTTGAAAAGAAATTAGAAATTGCTTTTACAATCATAGCAGGCAATGTAAGCCTGCCTTTGCTGCCTCCGCCCTTGAAGTGGCTTTTTAAAAATTCAAATCAGTGGCTACAATTTTTCTGCTGTTTCCTAGATTTCATGCTGGAATGCACGTGTGTATTTTTTCTTTCCTTAAAAATAACAGTGAAAGGATGTTTTTTGGACACCCCCCCCCTTAATTGTTTTCACTTGAAAAAAGGAAAAGAACAAATGAGAAGTGGAAATTGTAATTGATACCAATTTATTCAGCTATGTACAGTGAGAATGAAGAGCTACTGACTGTAGTTTTAGTCCAAAATGGTGGTGTTTTAAAATTATAAATAGAGGTCTTAGTTGTTTGTGTTTGTTAGTCTGTGTATGTTCTCCGGGATATTTCATTTAAAAGCATTATATTCTGAGATAAATTTTTCTCTTTTGAGGTTTTGGACCCCTGGATCTCACTCTAAAACATTAAGAAAACCATCCCCCCAAAATTCAGTTAATAAGTGGGGTGTTTGTGTCTTGTGTTAATATTTTAAGTAGTAGAGATGTGTAATTTTTGGTCTCTTGCATATTATATAATTTGGTGTGTTGTAATGAATATTTATGGGGAGCATGACTAACTTCAGGGTTATGTTGGAAAAGCATTCCCCCTACCCTCCACAATGGAATCAACTTTTTAGAGTTCAGTTCTCCAAAATAAACCTTCCCATTTAACAGTTACTGGGTGCCTGCTTTTTGCACCATTTTATACCATGCACCCCATTGAATAAGAATAGTAGGTAAAATTATATGTGCCTTTTAAAATTTTACTAGGAAGTAAGCCTGTAGGCTATACATTTTTACTACTAATAGATGTTTATCTTCTAGGTTGAAATTGGGCAACGATTAGACACCATTTTAGACGGGTGTTCTTGAACGCCACTGACAACAGTATTTCATGACCGTAAGTATGTTTTACCATTTTTGGTTGTTAATTATATGTGCACAGTAATTAGCTGGAAACAAAATTATAACTGAGTTATATTGGAGATTCCTGATAGAATGAATGCCTTTCAAGTCTAGACAGACAGTACCTATACTCATTCCAAATGCTTCCTTCTTTTTAGTGGCTTGCATGTAGTGTTCCCTGAGGGCCCCTAAGTACTGTCAAAGCTACAGGGTAAAGCCTGTTCCAGCTCTTAAGAGCCTTTCTGTTTATCTGGTAGGACTTGAGTCTAATTGAATACTTAACGGACGGTTATGTGCAGAATAGAAAATGGTGGTTCTAAGGATAGTAGCACAAGTGAGAAGAAGAGGTGTGGAAGGCCCAGGTAGTTGGGGATGTCATGGAGCAAGCCTGTAGGCCTCCAGCTGAACCTTGAAGGATGATGGCATTTAGATAGATGGAAGATGTGGCCAAATGCGAAAGCCTGAAGGCAGGGATGAGTGACTTACATTTAGAGGATGGGAAGTAGATCTTCCTGGTCCCAGTGGGGATTTCATAGGATAATCTAGTGAACAGATACCACTTGGTCCCTTTGGATACTCAGTTCTATATCTGCTACTCTATCTGCGATGTCAGGCATGTGACAACTTCCTTGAGCCCTGATTGCCTCACTGCTAAAATAAAAACTGTACCCGGTGATCCCTAAGTAAGGCACATGCTAGCACTGAGATTTTATTACCCTTAAGAGAGAGTTGAAAACAAGATTAGTTAGGTTAAGTGGGGGATCCACTCTTGTAAAGCCATGAAAACTTGTTTGGATTTGAAGACGTTTTTAGAACCCATTATAGGTGTAAGAGCTGTAAATGTGTTTTAGTGAGATTACTCTTAAAACAGTATGTACTCAGGTAGGTTGGGTAGTAATGCAGTGAAAATAGAAAAGGAAGGGCATATCCAGAAGATATTTTAAAAGAGGTAACAGATTAGGTAGATCTTGGAGGAGATGGAAGAACTTAAGACAACACTGGTATAATTGGCCTGGAAGTGTGGAAGGATGGTATTATTAATAGGATTGCAATAGTTGTAAAGGAGATCAAGGAGCTCACATCCATTATCTTGTTGGAGCGGATGGGGAAGGTGAGTTTCATTTTCAGGTATCTTAAGTTTGCAATGATAGGCTATCAGACACATTCTACAGGCATAGCTTGTTGAGTAGCAGGCAGGATATGGTTATAGAGTTAGGATTTATGAGAAGTGATATTTAATGAATTCATTAAGAAAGGAAGGTAAGAAAGAGAATATGATAACCTCAAATAAAAATAACAATTAGGAGGTGGAGAGGAAAGAATAAACCAGGAAGAATATTACTTTAGAAATCAAGGGAGAAGAGAGCTCCAAGCATTAATGAGGGGTTGGCCATGGCCAGCACTATACAGATAGTCAAGTAGGCTGAAAGTAAGGTCATTGGCAACTTCTAAGAGTGGTTTCAGTGTCATGTGGCAGTGGGGAAAGCACATGCCAAGGAATTTAAATAGGAAGGAAGAGATGTGTAAGGACTGTCGGGGTGAGAATGAGGCTAGACAAGGGTGTGGAATAGAATTAAGGCTTTATATGTGTTTCTGTGTGCTTCGTGAGAGAGTCTAAGCGTGTTCAAGGAAGAGGGAAGAAGCAGGTAAAGAGGACTGAAGACACCTCAGAGAGCAGGAATCTTTGTATTTCTGGTCCTCAAAGAGATAAAAAGGAATGTGATCCACAGAACAGGTAAAGGGGTTATGTGCGAGAGAAAACTTTTTGCCTGCCAAGAGTGACAGTGATGAGAACTGTGTTTGAAGGGACAGGAATCACGCGAGGTTACATTGTTGAGTTCTTACTGTGTATCACGCTCTTTGCGGAGCGCTTCTTGCAACTCGCTTCACTTCTCACAGCTTCCCCACGTTAACAATGGGGACGCTGCAGCACAGCGAGGATGGTAAGCATGACACACAGCTAGGAAGTGGGAGCCAGCCTCCCCTCTCCGCGGCCTGTCCTAAAGGCCAGCTCGCCATCGTTGCCTGCTGGTAAGGGGAATCTGAAACCAGGTGCATCTCTTACGGTTTAATTATCGTGCTTGTTTGAGAACCAACTTTAAATGTTTTCAGTATGCAGTCAGTAGACTTACATCAGTAGAATTGAGAAGGGGCAAATTAAAGATTTATGCTCCAGGTCTGTGGGAAAAACTGTCAAGAACAAATACTGTCAAGTACTTGGCATCTGAGGCTCTGGATTTCAGTCGCATTTACTATGTCACCTTTGGCAAGGCAGCCTCATACAACCTCAATTTTCTCATCTTCACAAGGTCGTGAACATTGCGTGAGAATTAAGAAAGTGTTCAATACGTGTTAAACATATTAAAGAGGGCACTCTTGACTGCATTTGTACAACAAATTATTAGTACAGTTTAAATACCGCTACAGAAAAAATATATAGAATAAAAATTTATTAGCTTAGCCAGCTGACGGTTAATTTCATATATTTTAGAGAGCAGTATTTTCACCTAAATAATTAGAATAATCAATGAAATTAATTTACTGGGATTTACCCACTTTGTCCATATTTATCATTTCCCTCGAATCTAATGATTCGTCATTTTATCCATTCTGTTGTCATTATCCTTACATGCTCTTTCCTCTTTGTGGTCTGGATGAAATCCAGTACTTTAGCTTCTCTGTTCTTATACCAGATCTGGACGTGTCACAATGGACATATTGGTACTACTACACATTCATGATCACCAGCTTCAACCAGGCCCAACACTCCATGCCCTTCCTTTCCCATTCTCTGCAGTGACGGCCATCTGTCTACGCAGCTGTAAGAATCCCAGCGTTATCCTTGGTCCCTCCTCCAGCTCTTGTTCAGTCAGTTACCAAGTCTTGATTTTACCTACTAGTAAAATCGCTCCAGCCTCTTGGTTCTGTGGATCTCCAGTGCTGTTGTCCTGGGCCAGATACTGGGAGTGACCATCATCTTGCCTGAATTCATGCCCTGACTGCAGCATTATCGTCCTCACTGGTCTTTCAGCACCATTCTTCTCCCCTCCAGTTCATTTTCTACACTGGACTGCAGTCAGAGTGATCTTTTAAGAAAGATATCTTATTTGCCTTCTTTGCTAAAACTGTCCTTTGATTTGCTCTTGTTCACAGGCACCTCTTGGGCCCTACTTAGCTTGTTCCAATCCACCAGTACTGTGTTCCTCTATGTCCTTTGCCTGGAATATTCTTTTCCCATCTTTCTTTGCCGTACTGATTTCTGTTCATCTTTCAGCCTCAGTTTAAATATTATTTCCTAAGACAATCTTCTTGACTTAGACTAGTGAGGTCCCTTTTGGAATAAACTCTCCAAGCATGTACCAAAACATCTTTGTTTTTCTTAGCACTTGGCACTTAACAATTAGTTAATTATTTATAATTATTTAATCGCTATATATAACATTTACAGAGCACTCCTATGGTACTATGCTACCTTCACATGGTAAGTCTTCTTCTCATCTTACTTGCTGAAGGTCTCATGCTAGTAAGTAGCAGGGAATTCAAACCAGGTGATCAGTACTCCTTGGAAGTACTAATAGGCGTGCTCCCCACCCTTTCCCATGCCCCCATTTATGTAACATTTGTCTTCTATGCATGATGAGGACAGTCTAGTCTGTGTTGTTGACTGCTTCGTCACGAGCACACAGCACGGACCTGGGAAGTACTGTTTACTTGGTAAATACTTGTTGACTGGCTTACTTACAACCTATAATCTATTTTTATAAGATGTTGTAGACCTAGAAAAAAACACCCTTTGTGTTGTATCTAGCAAGTTTTCCCCTTCATTCCTTATATATGGGTAGCATATTGTAAGCATCAAAGATGAGGTTAATTTGTTGAATGGAAGATGCTCAGTGCCTTGAGGATTCAAAGAAGGGAACACTAATTTTCGGCTTGCAGAATGGAGTAAATCCAAAAGATTTCAGGAGGACGGGGGAACACTGGGTTTAAAGTAGGGGCACACATTTTAATAGTAGAAAGATAGAGGAGAGGAAGACAAAAGGTTTGGTGAAATGACAGAAAAGCTAAAAAGCTAAGCAGATGATGGTGCAGCGGCTTATCTTCAGAGGGAGGATGATATCTGACATCTCCTGAGCATGAGCCAAACACTGTGCTTGGCAGGTTTCAATTTGTTTAATTGTGACAACTCTATGAAATACTTTTGGAAATATTTCTTAGAAGACAGGTTAGGTGCTAATGCTGTTAATCCAAATGATAATCTTGCTGCTCATTCCAGTGCATGACAAGATAATGTGATTTGAACATTATGCCTTTAATACTTTTTTAATGTTACGTTTATAAATTAATTAAACTCCCAGATCCTGGTTATTTGAACAGTGTCCTATTTTAAAAGGCTCATTGTATCCTGTGGACATTCATTTTGGAAAGAATTTCCGTTACTGTGTTTTTCTTCTCCTCCCTTCAAAAAAATGTTTGTTTGCACTTGAATGTTCTGAAACAACCACTTTGGTCCTGTCTCCTGCACGCTGATCTCCCCTAGGGCATTGTAAAAAAAACAAGGAGTCATATCACAGCTATACTAATTGAGCTCTTTTTTTATAGCTACTAAATCCATCATCATACCTGCCTGTTAAAGACTACTCTGCTAGTATCTTGTTTGCAATTTGGGGTCAAAACAGCATTTTTTATTTGGGTAATGTTCACATTCATTTATATTCGCTGTTTAAGATGGGGAAGGTGATATTATTTCCATTTTATAGAAATAACTTTTAACCAGTAAGGATGCTTGTGTTCAAGGATCAGCAGGAAGAGTCAGTCAGAGCTCACTGACTGTTTTTACCTGCTCTTAGAGGCCACTAATAGCTAGGTACCCTGTGCTATCACACATTATTAAAGGTACGTGAATTTTGTTCTTTAACCCCTAAAACCACTATGTAAATTATGGAAAGGTATCTGTATCTACAGTTAAATTAGGTACCACACAGTCAACATATGCATCAAAGAAATGCCATGTTGTTGAAGACTTGGAAACCAGTTTGATATTTTAGTAGTAGATAAAAATCCAACAGAGATGGAAAAGAAGATGTGTTACACAAGGACTCAAATACTGCAATTAATAGCCTTAAGTTTGTGCTGGGTCCTGGGCCTCGATGAACATTCAGGATCAAGTGTCTCTTGATTTGGCCTGAAAACATGTATAAATTACACTTAATTTTTGCTACACTGTTTATTCAGATAATGCATCTACATTTTTCTACCCACAACTTGCCAGACTCTTATTGTTTTGCAAAGTGGAAAGACTTCCAGGATTTGCCATGTTGGTGGAATGGAATGTAGCCAGTTTAGGGCTTATGGTTCGTTTTTTTCCAGATTTTCCCCTTAGAATTTTTATAGTTCTGAGCAAAATTAATTAAGCAGACTTCTTTTCAAACAGTCATTTTAACTCTCTTGTCTGTGGTTATAATTTCCCTATCCTTATATGCAGATCTCCAGTCTCCTTTTTTCTTTAAAAAATCAAAAATTTGAGGGTTGGGGGAAGAGAAAACTCACCTTTGGCTAGATTTGGAGGTTGATGGGCTTGTTCAAAATACGGGTGTACTTTTTGGGTTACATAGGTACAGATTGTATAAGGAATCCATATGCTTCTAGCACCAAACAACAGTTTGAACCAAGACATTGTTTACTGTGGAACTTCATTCAGTGAGACCACAAAGAAAGAAAGCCTGCAGCAAGAACAAAAGAGGTTACCTAGGAATGGCAGGCTTTAGCAGAAGAGCTGGAAGTGATGGATCTAGGTGACTTACAAGAGACTACTAAGCTGATTTTGGTTTTGCTTGTCATTCCAGGGATAAGTTAGGTTGATAAGTCAGGGATGCCTCTACCATATTTGAGGATTATGCACTTGAAAAGAAAGGTGTGTGTTGTAGCTTCATTTCCTTGTTTTGTTTCCCGGTTGGTCTTATGCTTAACATTTATGGAGGATGGAGAGGAGACTCTTGGATAGTTGACAAATTATCAAAAGGTTTCCAAATCAAGAAATATAAATGTTTTCTTTTAGTAAGCTTAAGCTATGAAAAATGTAATTGACAACCTATGACAGGTTATGAGCACTGAATCTATTATTTATTTTTTTTAGACAAGTTTTATTGAAGAGTATTGAAAAACTTTTTTTCCTCCTAGATGGATGGTGACAGTTCTACGACAGATGCTTCTCAACTAGGAATTTCTGCAGACTATATTGGTGGAAGTCATTATGTTATACAGCCTCATGATGGTAAGAAAGCCACAATTAGAAACAAATTCACAGGTCGGAACAAATTAGAAAGTGGAACTTTTATTAATGTGATGTTCTAGGTTACTTTTCTTTTTACAGGAAAATTAGCAATCTTGCATCACAGTTCAGTGAAAGTCTAAAAAGGTGTACCATGCTATTTTAATTAGAAATAGTCTTCAAAAGAGTGATGAGTTCTAGAAAAGAATTCTATAAAAGTATACCTCTTTAAAACAGGTACAGTTTCTTTAAAAATTTGTTATTGATTTCCTATTTGAGTATTTGGAAAATTCTTATTCAATTGATACAGTAAATAAAATAGTTCTTTGGAGGGTGAGTTATTAACTATTATACTTCTAGTACTTATGAACAGATTTATTTTTGTTTTTCATTCAATACTAAGTTTGAACTATGTCAGGTATTAGAATGGCAGTATTATGCTGGCCTATCAGAAATAATTTACTTTTGTGGCATTCTGATTTGTTAGATTAAAAAACATTAAGATATATTTTTGTAGAAGGCAAGTGGAGAAACTACCGTATTACCCCATGTATAAGACACACCTTAATTTTGAGGCCCGAAATTTGAAAAAAAAATGTATAACATAAAGTTATTGAACTCAAGTTTTATTCATAAAATTCATATAACTCCTCATCGCTGTCAAAACTCCCAACCATTAGCTTGTCCTCATCTGTGTCTGATAATGAATCACTGTCTTCACATATTGCTTCGTCTTCAGTTCCATCTATGGCATTTGAAATCTACAACCACTGTATAAGACGCACCCCGTTTTTAGACACCCTCCCCCCCTGTTTTTTTTTATAGCTGAGCCATCCTGCCACCTGTTGGCAGCTCAGCAGCAGCACAGCTCGGGCCATGAATCGAACCAGTGACCCTGTTGCTCAGAGTTCACACTCTTGAGTGAGCTTTTTTTTTTTTTTTTTAAAGATTTTTATTGGGTAATTGGGGGGAGGGGAACAGTGCTGGGGAATTGGGGCAAGGCAGATCAGTCGCCGGCTTCTGGACGGCTGCTCACTGCGGCTGCTGGCTACACACGGTAGCCCATGGCAACCCACTGCCACAGAGGCTGCAGCACACGCCGTCGCCGGCGACTCACGGCAGCCCAGCTCCAGGTTGAGCTGTTGTTCAGCATCTTAGCTGTGGAGGGCAGTGTCACTGGCCCTCATATGT